TGGCTTTATCCTTCTTTTCAGTCTATAAGTGACAATTTCTCTAATAAACGCAGTTTATGCTGCAGCAGCAAGACGGGGGCCCCGGGGCCCCCAGGGCACTCGCCGGTGGTGTGCAGCGGTCGTTGCAGCAAGAGGGGGCCCCCTATACCCCCTTCTTGTGCTGAATGTATTTAAAAATAAATTACTTGGAGAAAAAAACACAGAAGAAGTATTTATTGAGGCTGTTGCTGCCTGCAGCAAGCGGGGGGCCCGGCGGCTGGTGCGGCGCCAGCAGCGACCCGTGCGCTTCTCTCTGTTGCTTTTTTATATTTTCTTCTTTTTCTTTTTAAATTGAAATGAATTATTAAATATAAACTCAAAAGGGAAGTCCCTTGGTGGCAGCCGCACTGCCAAGAAGGCAGCAGCAGCAGCAGCAGCACCAACAGCAGCAGCGATAGCAGCAGCAGCAGCAACGACGGCAGCAGCAGCAGCAGCAGCGTTACTCCGTAGCAGACAGAAGCAGCAGCTGCTGCTGCAGTAGTAGGAGCAGGAAGACGGCAGCAACAACAGCAGCCAGTAGCTGAAGGAGCAGCAGCAACAGCAGCCGCAGCAACGGCGACAGCAGCAGCGACAGCGCTAGCGACAGCAGCAGCAGCAACAGCAGCAGCAGCAGCAGCAGCAGCAGAAGATGCACTTCTCTCCCCTGGGTGTGCTGGCGTTGCATCTTTTTCGTTTGCTGCTGTCTGTCTCTCTCGCAGCAACAGACGTTCTCCCCGACTCACCAGATACCCAAGCAGCAACAACAGCAGCAACAGCAGCAGCAGCAACAGCTGCTGCTGCTGCTGCTGCTGCAACAGCAGCGGCAAAGTCAGCCACAGCAGCTGCAGCAGCAGCAGTAGCTGCCTCATCCCCTTCGGGAGTCAGCGAAGAAGACTCACACGAGCATGACCGCCTAGATCAGCAGCAGCAGCAGCAGCAGCTGCAGCAGCAGCAGCAGCAGCAGCAGCAGCAGCAGCAGAACGATACTTTCTCGCTGCTCTGGCTGACAGACATTCACTTGGATCCACTGTATGACCCCAAGGGCCCCGTATCGAATTTCTGTCATCCGCGCAAGCCGCAT